ATATATATATATATATATATATGTGTGTGTGTGTGTGTGTGAAAATCCTTGATCTACCTGTCCCTGTCTCCAGTCTGATTTCAGAAACAGGGATTTCCTAACTCACATGACGCCCGACTGTACTTGAGTTAGAGTCTGAGTCAAATGTGAAGTCTGGGGTTGTAAACCATCTCTCATGTTTTCAGTGCATTTTCTTCTTTAGAATTGTATCAAGTGCTTTAGCTAATCAGGTTTATAGACGGTTAATACTGTGTCCCTCTGAGACTATCAACTTTCTCTATTCATGAATTTTGTGAACATGCAGATAAATAAATCTAAATATTGATATTATACTGCATACTTCTAAGGCAAACTAGAGGCAGAGTGAAAACCTTTAGATATGTCTCTTAGCTTTATCACCCCTGTGATATGAGTCAGTACACTCAGCTGTCAGTTTATTAGGTACACCCAGCTAAATGAATGTAGACTAATCAAACAGTCCTGCAGTAAATCGTCCTGCATGAAGTGTTTTAGAGAGGTGTTATCTTTTGAACTGGATTTGTATAATGTGCTTTTATCATTTTGTCAGCACCATTTATATCTATGAGGTCAGAAGCATAAGTATGAGAATATTTCCACCTGGAACGTAATGTAACATAATTTAATGAGCATCACTCTACAATCACATACTATGACTAGGAGTATATGAATCCTTATAGTATCAAAATATATATCTAGGCTTTTTGAAAAGTCAACTGAATTGTTTTATTGTCTGCTGTATAGTAACAACAGTAACATCTACTTTTAACAAAATGCTTGTTAACAACACTTAGAAAAAGGTAATATGGTTTTATTAAAGATGTGCTTACTGTGTGCCCTATGAGAATAAAACTCCTGAAATCAGCAAGGGGTTGTAGTGCTAAGGTCCCAGGCTTAAAGGCTGCCCTGAGCTTTGAAACCCCAGCTTCAAATCCATTTTCAGTCCAAAGAGAGAAAAACCCTAAAGCTTCATTAGGCTTTATCGTCCATCACAAGTGTGTATTTACACGTCTTTCTGTGGTTGTGTGTAGCTTTATACTTTAGTGTGAGAATTAAGATGGTTTTAGAATTAGGTTAGAGAGAGGCAGAGATAGACAGACAGAGAGAGAAGGAGGGACAGAGAGAGAGGCAGAGACAGAGAGAGAAAGGCAGAGAGATAGACAGACAGACAAAGAGAGAGAGAGGGACACAGAGAGACAGAGAAAGAGAGGGACAGAGAGGAAGAGAAAGGCAGAGAGACAGACAGACAGAGAGGCAGAGAGATAGATAGACAGACAAAGAGAGAGAGAGGGACACAGAGAGACAGAGAGAGAGAGAGAGAGAGAGAGAGAGAGAGAGAGAGAGAGAGAGAGAGAGACAGACAGACAGACAGAGAGAGAGAGACAGACAGACAGACAGAGACAGAGGCGTGTGTACTGTGCAGTCCACTAATAGCCTTTGTCGCCCCTTGTGGACGCTTTCGTGAACGCAGAAACAAAACAAAGCTGCATTCAAAACCACGCAGCAGCACAGCGCATAAAGTCATTTCCACCATAAACCATAAACTGACCCGGGCCATAAGTCAGAAGGCACCAATGTCTCGGTGGCCCTAAGCCTGTGCCATCGCGGGTTTTGTGCTCCGTCTCTCTGCGGCCGTTCACGACCGCGCTGTCTACTTCCTGAATTCACAGCAGAAGATGAAAACAACTGTTTGTCAAGAGCCAACACACATCGAAGGCTGTTATTTGCACTGATAACCGCAAAAGGGCTTTGGGTTGGAGTTCATCGTCTTCGGTTTGGTCGGGGAGTGCCGCCGCTTTGTCGCCATGGTGGAGACTCCGACTGGCTGCCTGTTTGAAGACATTCAGCGCGAGGACATTCACGTTGAAGCGGTAAACTTTCGTGAGCAGCAGCTTTGGTGTTAGCTCTGCATCTTGGGAGGGAGCAGGCGGCTACATGTTCCTTCTGTGTCGGAGCAATGCTGAGATAAGACAGACATGGGCTGTTTTAGTTAAAGGCATTTTAACAACTAGATCACGGCCACGGTTTTTTAAAGGGCAGTGGTAAAACCCGCTTGTAGAATGGTATTAGTAAAGTGTAAAAGTGCATATGTACAAAAAACTACACAAGTATTTAACACTAGAAAGTGAGCGCGTTTAATCCTACTGTTCAGGGGACGTATGTCGTGTTTACCATTGATCGGCTCAAATACTGAGCTGGAGTCTTATATTCTGTCTTGTCTTTCTTCAGGCTGTTGGCAGAGGGACATTTGGGGTTGTCTTCAAGGCCAAATGGAAAGGAAAGGACGTAGCAATCAAGACCATTGAGAGTGAGAATGAGAGGAACGCATTCCTTGTTGAGGTATTGTGTCCATGAACACACTCAGCAGACATGGAGTCCCCAGAAACCTTAGAGAATCCGTTTTTAGTCATTATAAAAATAACCTGAAATGTGTTTAGTTTTCACTGCAGCTATGAATGTGTTATGATCTGATGCCAATACCAAACAATATTCTGTTTGATACCTTACTCTGAGCACTATAAAAATGGTTTCTACATACCTGCATTTACCTCTTAACAAAAGAAGCCAAAGTTCTCAGAAGTTAAATATCTGAGGACACAATCAGATATGGAAGAACACTGGCTTTATAAAGTACACTTAAAATGAGAGAGAGCTGTATTTAATTCAGGACCTGCCTGATCAAAGAATAAGTCAATAAGATCCTGAAACTGACAACACTTTCAGTGAGAGGTTTTATGAAGGTGCATGCAGTGTTTAATTTGTAAATTATGAGGTCCCAGAATATCACTTGGTGATGGACCCGGCGTGTCAATGTGTGGACTTAGGCTTTATTGTCATTCAGATATACAAGTGTACATGAAATGGAATTTTGTTGCATTGGCTCAGCACAGTATTAAAATATAGAACATTAAAAATATACAGCAATAATGCAATAGTAACAAGGACTCGTGGGGTTGACAGTAGTGCAAAAATAGTTCATATCTAATGAGTAATTAAACAAGTATGAAACAGATCAAGATGTTTGAGAATGTCAGGTAAAAATACAGTAGCAGTGCAGTGGGAGTCTAAAGTGACTGTGTCCCAAATGCATAGGAGAGTATAGTATTCCAGTCCATTAAGTGTTCAGCAGTCTGATGACCTGGGGCAAAAAAAAACTGTTTCAGAACCTGATAGTCCTGCACTGAATGTTCAAGGCCTCTTTCCAGAGGCCAGCAGGGAGAAGAGCCCATGCTGGGGGTGTGAGGAGTCACTGATGATGTTTCTGGCTCAGGACAAGCAGCGCTTTGGTGTGATGACCTGAATGGAGGGAAGAGAAGTCCCAGCGATCTTCTCCACTGTCCTCTCCTTCTCCTCACATTTTTCCAGTCAGAGGCACTACAGCCTCCACACCACACAGAGATGCAGCTGGTCAGAATGCTCTCTGTGGTGCTTCTGTAGAATGTAGTGAGGATGGGCGGGGGCGGGTGGGTTCTCCTCATCTTGCGCAGGAAGTACAGTGTCGCAGTGTTCACAGACCAGGTGAGGTCGACTTTGATATGCACCCCCAGGAACTTGGTGCTGCTGACCACCTCCGCAGCCGTGTTGTTGATGAGAAGTGGTGCGTGGCTGGGCTGGTTCATCCCGAAGTCGGCAGTGATCTCTTTGGTTTTGTCCACGTTCAGGTTGTTGTCTCTGCACTCGGATGAGGCCAATGACCGTTGTGTCATCTGCAAACTTTAGGAGCTTGACAGAGGGGTCCTTCAAGATGCAGTCATTGGTGTAGAGTGAAAACAGCAGAGGGGAGACCACACATTCCTTGGGGGGGCGCCTGTGCTGATTGTCTGGGTGCTGGATGTGGTTTTTCCCACCTCACCTGCTCGATGAAGGGAGGATACTCTCAGATATAATGCCCTGAATGCCTCTTTTATTTATCATTTAACCTTACAGAAAATTCAGTAAATAGAACAAATTTACTGTATATACATTCACTTGGCATCTTATTAGGCACACCTAACTAAACCTAATGGAGTCTAATCCAACAGTCTACCCTGTTTATAGTATGTCGTTGAGGCTAAGCTACCCAACAGAAACAGCTGTGTACAGTACAGTTTAACAGCAGCACAAACTCCAGCCTCCAAAATGATGAGACAGTTGAAACAGTTTGAACACAAGCTGAACATTTTGGCCTTCATGAAAGAGGTCTCACTGCCGGACTGCAGCCTGAGCCTGCATTAGTTTTGGCTAGTGTGCCTAATAAATTGCCAACTGAGTGTACACAATATGCTGCAATGTAAGCTAGACAGACAGATTAATTTAAGAATTCATAGTAATATGTCCTGTCTCTCTTTTTGTCTGTGCACAGCTCCGCCAGCTCTCCCGGGTAAATCACCCGAACATCGTTAAGTTGTATGGCTCCTGTGACAATCCAGTAAGCATAACACTCAACACTCTGAAGCTTGTGTCTCATGTACTATCATTCAAGTCGGTGCCTTTCTCTCAAGATGTGTGGAGTAAAGGACAAATCACTTCTTAATGAATTCCAGAGCTCATCACCAGGGTTTTAGATAAGAGTTGTTTTAGAGCTGTCCTAAAACTATCCTGCTTTACATCCATTTTGGAGCATGAAATGTATTTTATGTTGGCGGGGCCTGTGGTGTTTTGTGGATTGGTTGGATTGCTGAGTCCCTGCTGGAAGAGCTGTGACTATCGTGATGGTGTATTTTCTTGCACGTTAGTCAGATGTGGTGTAACCTGAGCCAATTATTAGACACATCTGGTGCTCCTCTAATGATTTGACCCTTGAATGTGATTGGCCAATGGCCACATGACCATGTACCTAACTGACTTATGTGCATGGTTTTTATTGGCTGACATACATGAGCTTGTATGTGATTGGTTTTTGAAATATTTGTATTATTTATAGGACTCTTTGTTGTGGGCCTTTAACAGACCCTGATGAAGGCTTCATGCCAAAACATGTTGGTCTTCTCAAAGTTGCAGCAACATTTGCAGTGTTTTGATTACAAATGTTGCTGGACTTCGTTTTAACATCCATTTATGTCTCCACTGAAGTTCCATCAGGTAACCCCTCACTCGACAGTTGACATTTTTACTGCTGCTAACATGATTCGTGTTCCCAGGTCTGTCTGGTCATGGAGTATGCAGAGTGTGGCTCTTTATATAACCGTAAGTCATATTGTGTCTTTAGGAAATAGACTGAATATCATTATCAGTGACATAAGGTAGTTCTTATTCTTGCAGGAACTACACAAAGTAAATGTCTTGGAGTCACAATGAGTGTTTTTTTTTATTTTATTTTATTTTAGAAGCAGTTATGTCACACCATGGGCAGAATAGTTTATGCCAGTTCAATTGGTTATAACAGTCTATACACCATGTGCACATGTAACACATTAGCTGAACTACACAGGGAAAGACACACCAATAGTGCCTTCACACAAAGTGCATTTGAAATTTGCAGTAAAATGACAGTACCCCATGTGTGTTCATACAGTGTTCTCTCTTTTTTTGCTTGTCTCTGTGCTTGTCACTCAATCACAAAGTCTTGCACAGTGCAGACCCACAGGCCCACTACACAGCATCCCATGCCATGAGCTGGTGTCTGCAGTGTGCCCAGGGAGTTGCCTATCTGCATGCTATGAAGCCAAAGGCCTTAATTCATCGGGACCTCAAACCACCGAAGTAAGTCATGTTATGATCAAACAGGAGTTCTGAGTTTCTGTAAAAATCATGGGTAGTTATGTAGGGTGTCCACACAGTGGGGTTAAAGTCCAGGCTTTCTCTGAGCCAGTCAGCGAGTTGTCCTGAAGCCACTCCAGTGTTGTCTTGGCTGTATACTTCAGGTCACTGTCATGATGAAGGGTGAACTACCACCCAGTTCTCAGGTCTCATGTACTCGGGAGCAGGTTTTCTTCAAGAATCTCTCTGGTTTTGGCTGCATTCTCCTTCCTTCAGTTCTGACCAGTCTCCTTGTTCCTGCCAGTGAAGGGAAATTTTTGTCTCATCAGACCAGAGAATTTTTTCCTCATGCTCTCAGAGTTTTATAAATGCTGTTTGTCAAAGCTGTTATATGAGTTTTACTCAGAGTGGTTTCTGTTCAGCCACTTTGCTGAACAGCAGTAGTGGTGGAAGAAGTACTCAGATTCTTTACCTATGTAAACGTAGCAGTACTACAGTGTAAAAATGCTGTTACAAGTAAAAGTCCTGTATTGAATGTTGCTTAAGTAATAGTATGAAAGCATTAGCAGTGAAATGTACATGAAGGAACAAGATTGAAAAAAAACTCATTATGGCAGAATGGCATATTTCCAAATAATGTAGCTCATATTATTGGATTATAATTATTGATGCATTATTCTGTACATCACATTTAATGTTGCTGCTGGTAAAGGTGCACTGAATTTGAACTACCTTATATACATACTTACTGCTGGGTAGCTTGAGGATTTCCTACTAAGGATCAATAAAGCCTTATGATTTTGCAATATTTTATTAATCAGCTTCTGAAAAGTAACAAAAGTTATCAAGTAAATGTAGTGGAGTAAAAAGTACAGTACAATATTTGCCTCTAAAATTTAATAAAGTTCAAGTATGAAGTAGTAGAAAATTAAAATACTGAAGTACATACTAAATATACTGTAATACTGAAGATACTTGTGCTTGCCCTTGTTGGCTGACTTCTGTTTGACTGGACTGGGCAGCCAATTCTAGGAAGAGTCCTGGTTGCTCCAAACATCCTCCATTTCACAATAATTGCGGTCATTGGGATGATCAAGTGGTTCCTTTGTTCTGTTCCTTGAGGAGATCTACAGTGTTTATTGGTCCTCATGGCTCGATTTTTGACCTGACATGCAGAGTGGCAACTTGCATAAAAGAAGAACAGGGTATCTTGGTGCATAGTATATTATCTTAAGTCTCTAATCCATGTCTACTGTACTTTTTCAGTCTGCTCCTCGTGGCTCGTGGCACTGTGCTGAAGATATGTGACTTTGGTACAGCTTGTGATATTCAGACCTACATGACCAATAATAAAGGCAGTGCAGCGTGGATGGCACCAGAGGTGTTTGAAGGTACATCACAAACACTGCTCTCACTAATTCTAATTCGGTCCAGTAAATGTAATGCTGTTGTGTATTTCTCAGGCAGTAACTACAGTGAAAAGTGTGATGTGTTCAGCTGGGGCATTATCCTGTGGGAAGTCATCACTCGCAAGAAACCCTTTGATGAAATTGGTGGCTCAGCATTTTGCATAATGTGGGCTGTCCACAGAGGTGAGTGAAATCCTCTCCCAACTGGAGCTATAATACCAGCTGCTTTGGGCATTTTTCCCTCTCTTGCTGGATAATAACAGTGAAACAAATGATTGTAATGTGAAATGGTTGCTGACACCTCAAAGTTAAAGGGAAGATGTTGGGTGTACTGTTGTACTTGTGAAGAAACTCACATCACGTAGATGTCCTCACGAGATGTTACATGAGTTTGCGCTGGTTGTGGCTGAGGACTACAGGTTTGAAAATGGGGAAAAAAATCTGATTGTGTGGCGTAAGAAAGAAGTCAGCTTACTCGACTGCTCTTTGTCTCAGTTTAAGACAAGAGGCTCCAGGATACATAACAAATATCCAAATGTCAGACCAAACTGTCAGTATGGCCGTTGCATTGTGGGTAACGTAGGCATCACATTTTGACAAGGAAGAAGAATGTGTGCAATAACAGATAACGACAGCTTCAGCCAGAGACCTTACATTTTTGGTTTGTCCGTCCCAGTCTTGTAAATGACATTTGTCAGGAAGGCCTTGAGGGAATTGAGCATTGAACTGATTCCATTTTGATGGTCAAAGGTCAAGTCAAAGTCACTTTGACCTCTGCTTCTTCCCATTGTTGTAAACACCATATCTCAGGAACATCTTGAGGGTATTCATTTAAATTTGGCAAACATTTCTATTTGCACTCAAGGAGGAACTGAATAGATTTAGGTGATCAAAGGTCAAGGTTACTGTGACCTCACATCCGTCTCATTCTCAATTACAAGATACAGTATCTCGGGAATGCCTTTGGGGAATTTCTTCAAAATAAATACACTTACAGTGGGGGGATATTTACTAAACCTGTTGCAAAGCACCGTCAGGCCCAGAAAATATTCTGGTACTGCAGTTTTTTTATTTAGCGGTGTATTTACCAACACTGATGATGTAAATGAGCACAGCTGCAGCGGGGTTAATTTGAATACACCTTCTTTTAGGATTTACTGCCTGAAGGCTGTGGTGCACTTGTGGACAGGGAGGAAGTATAGAAGACAGTCTGAGGTTACAGCGACCCAAATTTAATATGGATCTGGAATCACATAGTCTCCTGCCTGTCAAATCTTATTTTGTTCAGTATGTGAAGCATGGTTTGACCTGAAAGCCTGTACAAGTCCCTCACAGTCTTCTCTGGTGAGCAGTGTGATTTACAAACACCCTCTCCTTTGTCTGACGTGTTCTTAAATCAGATGAGGCCTCAGGTGACTAATAGCTGACAGGAAGGCCACAAATGTTACACCTGCTTTCTCCTGATGTTACATTTCAGCCACAGTTCCCTCTGTTGCAGTGGTGATAAATCCTGTGCTGAGGGTATTTGTATACATTTCCATTCTGTCCTCCCTGATGCATCCAGGGGCGCCTTAAAATACATAATGCCTGAGACCTAACAAACACCTGAAGTGCAAAGTTTGGGGTGAAAAAAGAGTTGTAATGGCAATAAACAGAATGTGAGAGCTTTGGAATTACCTGGTTTTCTGCATTAATTGGTCAGAAAATGATGAATGTCTCTTTGAGATTACTTTTCCAACTTTATGCTAATCAAAGATTCATGATTGGAAGTCTTTTGAGATATCATTTTTTTGTGAGGTATGGTGATGCTTCTTGTGAATAGCAAACTCAAAATGCTGGAGTTTTTTTTAAATTTATTTTAAATAAAGTAGTACTAATCCACACCTCCAATTTGGTGCCGTTGATTGCAGTCTAGGTTTACTAACTCCTGAATTCAATCTAGGGTTGCAGCAACTAATTGATAAAATAGACAAAAATTGATTATAAAAATAGTTAGCAATCAACGAAATTATAAACGCAACACTTTTATGTTTGGCCCCATTTTTCATGAGCTGAACTTATTGTGGCCAGCCTAAGGTACAATAATCATGCTGTCTAATCGGCATCCTGATATGCCACACCTGTGAGATGGATGGATTATCTCAGCAAAGGAGAAGTGCTCACTGACACAGATTTAGACAGATTTGTGAACAATATGAGAGAAATAGGCCTTTTGTGTACATAGAACAAGTCATAGATCTTTGAGTTCAGCTCATGAAAAATGGGGGCAAACACAAAAGTGTTTTGTTTATAATTTGATTCAGTGTGCTTTTGAGTGTGTCCTGTGCCTAGTGATCCACAAACTGTGTCAGCAGGCCACCCGGTGTTGTTCTCGTAGGTGGGCTTTGTCAGAAACCCTAAGCTAGAATTCCTCATTTTTGATTTGGCCTCATTCACACATCATATTTAGGAGCATTAACATAGTTTGGGCCCCCTCAGTGGGTCTCTCCCCAAGGCTCCGCCTACAGTAAAGGAGCTAGTAGGAGATACCTTCCTAGGCCAGTCTGTTGGAATCATTACCAGAATGGCCACCAGAGAGAAGCAGCACAGGTGGATGTAGTGTAGTCCTCTGTGTTGATGAAGTCACTACATCATACTCTGAAGAAGCAAAGGTGGTGGTGGAAAATGTATTTTTGCGTGCTAACTACTTCGCCAGCGACAGCTTCAGTAACTTAAACCTGGATCAGTACAATGCTGGACTGGCTGCAAAACTGCATCTGAAAGACCAGTCGGTAATGGCAACCTGTGGAAAGTTGGCAACAAGGTACGTACAATAACTGTAGATTATCAGCAGTATTTAATCTACATAGTCTGTTTATGCTTATTCATTTTGGAATAAGTCTGAAAAGTTAAACCGATCATGAAACATAGGGAATACAAGCAGCCAGCACATAATGTTAGTTGAAATCATTTTGCCCCACCTGTGACCCAGTACATGTTAGCATGTTAAACATGTTGGAGCACAAAACATATTCAAACAGGCATGGTGTGCAACATGGGTACATCGCTATTACTGTCTGAGCGCTAGGCTGGCCACAGGCTGGCTGTGAATCCTACCCATAACGTTGTTTACATGTAACGTAGGGCATAAACATTAGCAAAACTACTACTAAAACAACAGAGGCAGTTTGTATATCTGCTTTTTGTGTCATTCCGCTAAAGTGTATAGCTTGCAAAGTGTTTGTTTTTGTGCTAAAACTTGCATGATATCTTAATACTATGTCATATAATGATTTTACATAAATTACTACTTTATTACATTTCTCCTCAGGTTGTGTTTGGCAGGCAATAAAAGATGTTGATGTAATATAAAAATCTGATTTTATATATAGATGGATATGATTTTTAATGTTTTTTTTGTAGGGCATTCAGTCAAGTATGGCAGTTAACACCATGATGGACCTGAGGACAAACAATGTGATAGATCTCCAGCTTGTTCAGGTGAGTTTTCAAAAGTGATATGCAAGCCAAATGACTATAAACATAGACATAACTAAAGACTGACATTGTAAACTATGACCTAACTATATATTTTATATCTTGTCATTTTAATATTTTGAGAGATGAAGTCAGTGGGAACTATCACATGGAGAAAGAGGGGCTGAAGAGAAGCTTTGCTTTTGGAGGAATGGCATGTAACTATAAGTAGTATTGTAACAGACATCATCCTCAAATCCAGAACTTCTTGAGGGAGGTCAACATCACAACTACTATGATTTGTGGCACATGAACGAAGTTGATACTTTTATCATATAATCAACGATGTGTAGAAAAGACACTATCAGAACTGATTGGAAAATAGTGATAATTTACTTAACCCATATCATAATTAAAAAAGACTGCTTTTGACACTGGCTTGTGCCCACAAAAATCATACTATACTATATGACCTGTGAACCATCCAAAAATTTGCCAACACATACAGTCAAACAACAAAACTCTTATAATTCAGAAATACCAACCGCATAAAATCACCAGAGCTTTTAAAAGCACTTGCAGGAAAACGCCCTCAGTGTGCCAAAGTTTCTCATTTTGTAGTGTCATGAGGTACATTTAATACTATTGTTATTAGACGAGACTGATGGCATTATATGGTCTAAGTTAAATACAGCATCTGTTGGAAATATATTCCAAGCTTTTCTCCAAAGTTGTTTGCCTAACATAAAGCTAATTTTATATGTGAAGATTGATCTAAATATATATGTTGACAGAATAGCTTTTATTTTGTGCATTGTGTGGTGTCCTTTTCATATTTGTTTGTGTTTTCTTCTTTTAGGACTGTTCCAGAAACTGACAAGGTCTCACAGAACAAGGAGTGTAAGAAACTGAAGAAGTGGCTTCCTAGCAAAAAAAACAAAAACAAAAAAAAACCCCACATGTATTGGACGGGGGCATCCTCCATATCTGATCCAGAGAGAGCACTATAGTGTACCGCTATCCGAAACCATGTTTGTGACACCCACGCTTATGAAAACCTGGCTTATCCCAAGTGTTTGCACCCACCAAACAAGGGAGCAGAGTAAATGGCTGATTGCTGGTGAGTTAACAGACAAAGTGAATTAAACCCCACATACTTTCCAGCAGAATCAGGAAACTCGCACCTGATTCGAAGCACCACACATGCCAGCAGGACCACTCTGATTCTCTTGCCCAGAAAGCCTCAACACCAACTTACAAAACCTCCCTAAGCCATGTATATGTAGCGACTGACTAAAGATGAAACTTGATTACACCCAACATATATGTTTATTTTAACTTTGTCCTTTTATGTTATGTCATGACATATTGAAAATGATTTTTATAAGATGTTTTTTGATAATCACTTTCTAACACAGCTATTTTAATTACTTAAATTCTTTGAGTAACAATAAATGATTTGTCATTGCTATTGTTTTGTCTTGTGTGCTTTGTTTATATTTCACAATGCCTGAATATTAATGACACATTACATTTGAATTAGTAATCAAGCTAATATTTGTTCATGGGTTTTCTAAAAGTATGTAAAATAAAACAAAAATGTATAATCTAGGAAATACTTACTGCTCTATTTCCCAAAGACACAAAGGCCCATAGTCTGCTCTATAGATGTTAACTTCATAGGTAATCAAATGCCACGTGTCAGACAGCTGGTGCAAACTAAACAAGGTAAAGAGTCCATAAATATAAATGAAATATCCATCTATCCATCCATTTTCTTCCGCTTATCCGAAATATGTATAAGCTTAAATATGAATATATGTTTTGGGGGGGGTTGACAGCAAATCAGACACCCCAACCTCAGACCAGTGGCAGGTCATGTTATTGTAAGACTGTACCTTACTGTTAGAGGTGGCCAAAGTACACAAACTCTTTGCTAAATATAAAACTATACAACCTAATTTATCTCATGATATATTACATTTACGCAGTCAATTACATGTGAGCAGGTAAAAATGACTTTCCCTCTTTATTGTAGTGTAGTAAAGTTAACAGGCTACATGTAAGAAGCAGTATTAACAAAATTCTCATGTAATGTTTACTTATTGTACATTATAGTAAAAGTAAAAATCTTAAGGTAGCCTGTATGTTTTCATTAATTTCAGAATCAGAATCAGCTTTATTGGACACATGAGGAATTTGACTGGTACAGCGGCTCTCAATGTCCTTATTTATAGCAGCAATGGGCAAGTAAACAATATAAGGCTGATAGAACAGAAAGGATAGAAAGCAATGTGCATCAGGAAAAAGGATAAAAAAGTACATATAAATAGAGACCTGTGTGTGTGTGTGTGTATATATATATATATATATATATACACACACTATTACTGACTGATGACAAGTAAAGATTGACATTCTTATGTGCAGTTGGTTCAAATACTGTATGTAGTCACACACAGAGAGACCTCCCTTATGTACTGTCAGTGTGTTTGACTTTATTGTCATTTTCCTTCTAATATACCACTGTTGCTGTCTGTAGTGGCGAGAGCAGGGGAGCAGGGGGTGCAGCCACTCAGGGCCCCCGTTTACTAAGGGGCCCCACCTACTGGCCCAGTCCACTTGAATGAACTTGCATTTTTGTTGTTTAGTTGAGTATTTTGAAGAAAATCTGTTACAATGTTTTGATTGTGGCAAAATAGAAAAAGCGTAATCACAAACTTTATTGGCATGTATTATCAAAAATGTGAGGAATTTGACTCCAGCCCAATGGCCTCCAATGTGCACAGCAATATAAAAACAGAACCACAAGTAAAAAAAACCTGCAGCTCTACTGAAACAATGCTGCTGATTATAGTGAGTGGAGATAGGGTGGGGGTCTCCTCCTATCATTTCCACTGTTTTTAATGTATTCAGCTCCAGGTTGTTACGACCACACCATAGGACCAGCTGTCCAACCTCCCATCTGTAGGCTGACTCATCACATTCTTCTTTTTTTGAACACACCTACACAGACCTGTCTGATAGTGCAGACTGAATTACTCTTCTTTAAATAAGGCAGGGCTGCCTAGACTCTGCTGATTGTATCTCATTGTCTGAAATCGCTGGTTCTAATTTCCCCTTCAAATGAACTGATAATCATAGAGGTTCACATACTTCTGCCACAAACACGTGCCTGTAAGATTAGATCGTTGATGTCTCTTTATCTAGTTTCAGTACTTGCATTAAATGCTGATTACATTTTAGCTGATATTTATGCAGAAAAATAGAACATTTTAGAGGGTTCACAGTCTTTCCAGCACTACTGTATGTTACCGCATTTTAAGACAAATGTATACATAAATACATGCAATTCCAAAAGGGTTCACTGACTTTTTCTTGCCATGTTGAACCGGTATTCTCATCCTCAGCAATTATCACCTATAGACAGTCTAGGTCCCTGACTGACTGGGTGTTTTCTGTGATGTAGGCACACGTCCTCCTCTAATCAAAGACCTCCCCAAACCAATTGAGATTCTGATGACCCGCTGCTGGGCCAAAGAGCCCAGCCAGAGGCCATCCATGGAAGAGGTCCAAAAGACCATGAGGCATCTCATGAAGGTATAGTCCCAACACAAAATTCCCCCAAAACCACAAGTTGTCATTTTTTATTTACTTTTTTTTTTACCGAATAAACAAACAAAATATAACATTAATTAGATTTACAGGACTTGGCGAGTGTATTTTTTCAGTCTGAGCTTTCATAAAGGAGGCTGGAGGCTTATGTGGAAAGCCTGTCATGAATGAGCCACTGAATGAAAAATGATCGGCTCCATAAAGTACATTTGTGCACTATTGTGCTAATTTGTTTTTGTAATTTTATTTTTTATTGCTTTTTAAAAAAAATGCTTTCTCTTTTCTACTTATTTAATGAGAATTTTTAAAAGTTCTGGGTGATGTGTTTGGATCTTGTAGTACTTCCCAGGTTCTGATGAACCACTCAAGTTCCCTCACCAGCCTTCAGCCAAAAGAAGTGGCTCTTCATCAGCCACGAACACAGGTAACCATCAGCCCTGCATCTTCTGCTAATGCATGATTTGTTCTAGCATGTGCTGAAATCACTGTATGTAGCAGGCCTAAAGCATGTTTTTATGAATCAGTCTATACTGTCTGTAGGCTTGTATGCTGACTTCACCATCAACAGTAATATATGTGATGACAACTCAGAACACAGAACCTCTGTTGGCAGAGAGGAAACCCTGAAAAGCTTAGAGGCCAACATTCCACTACAGTTCAAACCCTCAAAGGTAATATAACCACCCTGTTGTCAGAAGTTATGTTTTGTTCTGCCCCTACTTCATGATTTTAATCTATATTTCTTTTTCCTTTCAGACAGCCACATTGCATACTGGTCTGTCCAGGGTGTCGAGCATGGACAGTCAACCAGGGCCCTCCCAAAGCACTAGCCCTGTAACTACTGCTGGGCAATCAGAGCTGAGGATGACATTTAGTCCCACAGGTAGGGTGTTTCATGGGAACAATAACAGCTGACACACTGGAATACACTGTAAGAAATGTAGTCACATGGTGTGGCTAAAAGTACAGCGGGATAAAAAGTTGGATGGTTAGGGATATAAACATAACTGAGGGGAGTTATCATGGCTAGCAAGCTAACAACAGCAGTCCAAGTTGTTAATTATGCAGTGTTTTATCAAATATTTTACTGTCATTAACCTTTGTCACTATTCTTACACTCATTACTGTCAATCAGCATACTTTCCTCTCTGCTGCTCAGATTATTCTACCATGCAATTATTAAACAAGAATACAAATAAACATTTCCTGAATTTGAGATCAGTCCCACCACTTCCCTCAAACTGGCTGGACATTGATGAACCTTGTGATTTTGTTCAAATGGACTGAACTCAAAACAAATGAAAAAAGTCAGTCTTCAAAGTAAATGTGTCTTGCTCAGTTCTACATAGAAATGAACCAACTGCAATCCGTGTAACTGTGCACACACTTTGCAAATATAAGATTAATTGCCTCTCATAATTAAGCTGTTCCTGTTTTCTTTTTTTATTTAGTTTTTACCTCCTCAAGCACCCTGCGTTGTGCTAGGCACCCACTTCTAGGGAGAGTAGCCACAGCACTAAATTGTCTCTATTTAATAGCAACAGCAACCAAGTAAAAGTATGTTTTAAGTTGACTTTTTCAATATCTCAAAAGTGAGAATTGTATTGTACAACCAAATGCCAAGTGTCCCTGCGCAAGACACTGAACCCCAAGTTGCCCGTGATGGCGGCGCATATGCACGCAGCGGCCCAGGGCCCTCGGCTCCAAACAAAAGTTTGTTGCACGTGTCACAATGTTACAATGACAATAAAAATAAAAAAAAGCTTTTCTATTGCTGACTATAATTTGATTTGTGAATGACCAGGTGGAGTTCTAGGACAGTGGGCAGTTTATTATAGATGTTTAGATGGCAGACCCCAGGAAAACCCCAGGGCTTTGTTCCCAAACAGTGGAGCACTATGGTAGTCCACTTATTTTGCTTTGGAAGGTGAACCTGGGGATACACTGGCAGTGAGGTGGAAGAGGATTCAGAGGATGTGACAGCAGGGTGCAGTGCAACGAAGATGGCTACTGTAGCTGAGGAGGATGCCAAAGCACTGTTATTGTTGAAACCCCAAATGGTAGCAGCAGAATGAGCATGCAAGCAGTAGCAGGTGTGGCTCTCACAGTTCTTGGGACGGTAGCAGGGCGAGGGTTAGGGTGGCATTTCATTTGGTAAAATTGCAAAGTGGTTAGAGAGATTGAACAGAGGAGGTAAAATTGCCTGTTGACCACTAACCAACTAACCACAAGGTTAGTTGTGAAATTTCATATCAGTGCTATTTCAACAGGTTCAGTTAATCAGCGTGGCCACACCAAGTTGATTGCACAGTCAAAGCCTTATGCTGCACTGTTCACACTGCACCACTAAGGGGCATTACAGTGCAACCAACCGGTGTTTGTATCTGTGCAGGTATCCACTTTCTGCTACAGGAGCTCTTTTACAGTGACACTGACAGATGTGTTTGTCTTTAGCTACCAATGGTATAGACAGCTCCATTCCCATGGCCTGGCTGAAACTGGATTACCAGTTACAGGTAAGCAGAAAATACTTTTTTTTTGTTCATTGAAATAGAATCTTTTCTTGGGATTATCATAAGCAGTTGTGGTAGAAGTAGTATTAGTAGTAATATTATTGTTACAGTATTATTATTGCTGCTGCATCTTATAGGTTTTATGTACATCACAGAGACATTACAAAGACATTCATTCAGTTATTTGTTTTGTAATACCTAAATTAAAATAGAACATGAGTTAATAGAACACTATTTTGGTCTACTTTAGTACATTGACAGAACTTTTTGCAGGAGAAAGTCAAGAACATAAATTAATACATACAGGCACACATGTCTGTATGTCATACATAGCATACATACATTACAACTGTAAGTTAAAGAATATGCAAATAAAAAATGTAAATAAATTATGTTTTTATTTGGTACACACCTACACCATACCAAAAGTCCTGTACTGAAACAGTTTGGTACTAATACTTGTACAGATGCAGCCACTCAGTATTGCTCTTTCCAGCTGAATGGCTTTCAGCTGATGTGCAGCTGCCATGCAGTTCCCATCAGCCTTCCAGGAGCCCTCCTTCTCCTGTTGCCTGATAAGGCATGTCTAGATTCCACACAGACAACACACAAACCAGAGCATTACTGCCAAAGTACTGTATTCACACTGCAGTCATGTTTTTGTTTAGGCCATTTTTTATACAATACAATACAAATGTCTGACCATAATCCTTATCATACAGGTACTGCGCCAGATAAATAATGAGCCGTCCCTGGTAGGCTAGTGGTTAGGCGCTGCGCCCCGGGTTCGAATCAGGGTTGCTTCAGGAAGGGCATCCGGCGTAAAACACGTGCCAAATGTCAACATGCGAGTTGTCAGTTGTGACGATTTGCTGTGGCGACCCCTAAATGGGAAAAGCTGAAAGTGACTTTCTTTCTATCTGTTAAACTGGGTTTCATATTCCTAGTCAAAGATCTGTTACACCTGGTTAACATGTTTAAGTTATGTTAAGAAATAATAAATAGTAAAGTATGCTAGAATGAAGAAGTTCTTTGTGAACATTCATTTGAAATCTGACCTATCACACAGCTGCTGTCATAACCCTGTAGTTATGTGGACTTTGTAAAACGATCCTGTCAATACAGCTTCATCAAAACACAAGGGGCAGAATGAGGGTTTAAAAGCCAGGTATTACTACAATGTCTTATTGTACAAATTACTAGTTTATAGCCTACTTGTTCAGTCAGAGACGCAAGTGGGGAGAGCGGTGAAGGCATAAAGCGCAGCTTTGTCTCCCAAGCAGCTTGAGTTGGACTCCACCTTGAATTTTGGTCTGGTGTCATTTTTCAGTTTTGCTTTTTCTTAACCAAGACCCGTGAGAGTTGTTTGCTGGAAGAGCTGATATTTTGACAGAAAAAATACATTAGCTGGGAACATTTTACTGATAATGTAATACAGACAAAGGAAAAGACATATCAACCGTTGGTGTAGTGCTGCTGGAACAACACTCGACCACTTTTTGCTCCAAGAGAGGAAAAAGAATAGGCCTACTGGCATAACCTGGTTGAAAATCATAATGCTCCATTACTCTGAGTGCTTGAAGATCCAATCATGAGCTGCTTGTTCACATTGTTATTCTGCCACACCAGAGAATAAAGCCAGTCTAACATTTGATCGTGTGGGCAATTACAGTTGCCACATAGCTGGAAAAGTGTTTACATGGTCCTCGAAAATATAACTTAACTGTCCGCATGCACGCACGCATGTCATAGGTGCACTCAAATAGCACTGCACCTCTGATGTTAATGTAACTAAGGTCAGATTAGGTGAAAGCTTATATCTGTATTTTCTCATTTGGTCTCATCAGGACGCATCCACCAGCAGTTCTGGACATTAATAGAAGGATCAAATTATCAGTCAGCCTCTGCAGTAAACTACTACAAGCACTGCTCCAGCTGGTGGATATATATATATAACACTGGGGCGGCTTGTACACACGGTACTTAGGGGTATTAACAAGGCTGTGTCATCATGGGGGATACACGATAAGAGCAGGTCCAGCCAGCAATTTAAGACTGCTGCATCTGTACTTTTAGAGCCGTGGTGTATATATACCCTGTTTTTGAATAGCATTACCCACTGAGCTGTTCTTGTGCTTTCAGCCTTTGGCGCCGTGTCCGAACTCCAAAGAGTCCATGGCTGTATTTGAGCAGCACATCAGGATGGCTCAGGAGTACCTCAAAGTCCAGTCAGAGATTGATCACCTTGTTCGGAGGAAGTAAGTCGGGTCACATGTGCTTTTTATTATCTTTACTATAACTACTATATGTACATCTTTGACAGTGGCAATTTTGGGGAGGGGGGGGGGACCAGCGGTGGACCTGCCCATTCTGGTGTGCTCTGCCAAATGCTAATCAAGCTGCATGGTGCTGGGCTGTGAGCACAGGTCGAATTAGAGGGCCCCGGGCCCTCATGCCACCCTCATGGCATCTGATTTTGACAGTTTGGTCAGAAACATGCCCACCAGTAGCTGCTGGAGGTCATTCTGTGGGGCTCTCTCAGTGCTCCTGCTGTTCCTCCTTGCACAAAGGGGCAGTACCCATCCTGCTGCTGGGCTGTTGCCCTTCTACGGCCCTGTCCAGCTCTCCTGGTGTAATGGCCAGTCTCCTGCTATCTTCTCCATGCTCTTGAGAAAGCACAGTCTCAAGGTGTGCTATCTTGAAGTAAGTGGACTACCTGTGCAACCTGATTGGGCTGCAGGTACTGCCTCATGCAACCAGTAGTAACAAGGACCCTTTGCACCCCTACTTCCCACAGCCTTGAGACTACCTGCAGTTTTCAGAGACTGTTTTAGACTCGTCCCTTTTACTTTTAATAATGTGAAAATGGAGACAACTTTCATGGCCCAGAGAAGCTGCTAATACGACCCTAAAGTGGACTGTACCATTTCCACTCGCTAACATGAGCCGCCTCATGTCAGCACTTTACCTTTATCTGCTGTCTGTGATGCCTGTAAAATTACTGATCAAGACGTGCAGATATTTTTTGTAAATCATGGCTCATGATCTACTTTTATGTGTTTATTTAAACACATGCACACAAAATAAGTGACTGGTGTCAGATCAGTGATGATTGGCTAGAGCGCACCTCCTCAGCTCAGCAGCCTCTCTCATCAACACCCTGCCATGGGAATTTCCCATACAAATATGAAACTTCCCAAATATGAGGGTCCAGTAAAATATGAAGATACGTATGCTGCTCTGAATCCTTTTCATTTTTCTTTCACTTGGATAGCTAGTTGTAGTTTTGGCACTGACTATTTGTGCTTGGTGAGTGATGTACTGAAATGCCAATAGGCAGCCACAGTGTCATCTGTTGTCACACAGGCACAAGTGCTGACGTTGATCCTTCAAATCAGACCTTATTGTTGTTTGTGCTATAGACTGTTCAGACATTGCAATGTGTTACTTTGGTGCGTTTAGACAATTTTTTGTTTGTTATTTTATGTAGTGATTTTGGTGAAGTAGCAATCACTGAGGTGGGGATACATTTTGTAGGCAGGGATATATAGACCCGCTAATGCAGAGAGAGGGTGCTGCAGCCTCCCATTGTGGTGACTGTGGGTGGTAGGATCATGTAATCAGAAAAAATAAAAATAAAAGGTTAATTACAAACAAGTATAAAATATTGAGTTTAAATTGTGGCTATAGTGGTTTAAAACAGAGGATTGTTTATTTAGGAAATGTTTTGTTAGGAAAACTCGGACCCTTGCCCCCACTCCCCGGAAGCTTTGCACAGTTAACAAGCAACAAAGGTAGGTTAAGCAACAGCAGGAAATGACTGTGTTATTTCAAAGAAGTAAAGATGAAGCTGAACGTTAATGTCACTGCAAGAAAGAGAGCACCAGCAGTGTCTCTGGGAATCAACAGGCCACCAACTCTGTCCACAGTGGAACCACTGGACTCAGAGAAGCTGGGGAGGCACTCGAGCCTTAACATGTAAACTCCAAAGGCATCTTATCATGCTGTGAGTTATTTTAATAGTATAGTTTGTTTTAATCTGACTAGGTAAATGTTGTGAATGCAATTGTCATCATATCCAGGATCACGTCTATGTAGTAAGGTTATGTTAATACAAATCTAACTGAATTAAACTTAATCAGTTTAGAAAGCATCCAAAGAGGTAACATGCAAAAAGCTAAACAGAATTTTGACTATACATTCATTTTATGGATGCATATTTAATTCTAAACACTCACGTGCATATGCGTGGCCATGCGCACACATGTATCCCAGACAGCCCCCCTACTGAAAATATTTTGTTTTGCATTGCTTCCAGTCTTTATGCCAAGCTAAGCATGTTAGCATGTGCCATTCCACTGAGATGCCATTGAGATTCCAATAAGAAAGCAAAATGAAGGAAACAAGCATATATTCAGTAATGTTGACTGAGGCCTCCGAGACGCAATGATTCATTCCTGTCTATTTAAACACCAGTCTTGATGTACTGACAGTAACAGAGGCTTTGTTCTGTGCCTTCAATTGAGAGAGGACCTGATGTGTGAACTGGAGCAGGACCAGAGGGAGCAGCAGACTTCATCCCGACTCATGCAGGAGCACAGCAAGCTGCTGGAGGACAACAGCCAACTGTCGACCTACTGCCAGGGCCTGAAGAGCAAACTGAGCTTGATCAAGAGTCAGAATCAGCACCCTAGCTAGGCCACGAGGCTGGTCCAAAGCAGCAGTCTATGACCGTTGCTGTTTTTACTGTCTTCCTGTGTGGACTGCCTCTTTCTCTAAAGGATGAGCAGAACCAGCCTCTCCATTACTATTATGCGCAGAAGCCCGTTTTCCTTTAGAAAATGAGAAATTTATCTCACCACAACACAATGTATCAAGATAACATCAGAATTAAAGTTTTAAGGTCCAACTGCAACTGTAATTTAGGTTCTTATTTGTAGTGTAATGAAATATAAGCCATAATGACAAGGCAGCTGTCGCAACTGTTTCTACATGTTTTGTGGGATCAACAAAAGCCCCTGAGTGGGTGCCTTTCAATTAAAAAAGCAGCTTCCAGGTGTTCTCTGGAATTCTGCACATTTGGTGATGGAGCTGGCCATAAAATTCAATTCCATTCACTTCAGTATTTCACAGTGGTATAGACATGGTGGGACCAAAGAGATTTCACACGGACCTGTAGACTGAAAGTTATTTAGAAAAAGAACAACGGCTGAAGTTTCGGAGGGTCATTACCTTGTGGGCTTATATGATGATAGTGAGTTATATTTTGTTGTATTACATTTTTTTGAATTGTTGAAAAGGCAGTACAATTGTGATGTGTAGATTATTACCTGTATATATTCAGTATATCACACAAAGTTTACTGTTTTATGACAAGAGTAAAGACTCTGGGCTGTATCATTTTAAACCAATTTTACTGTGAATACATGTGTTACCAAAGGAATTCTGCTTTGGAGACATCCCATCTTGGCACAAAAGAAATGTTTTGTAGAAAGGTTGTTTGATTTGAGATGGAAATGCACGTTGAAGTGTCCACAAGGCCAGGAAACCACCTAAGAAAGACTTGCTTTATTCTAAGGAACTCAGCATAGCCATAATCAATAGCTAAACTTTGACTGAGCGTTTTCACACTATTTAGCCATTCACCCATTCGCACTCCCAAACACACACACAAACACATTCACGCACCAGTGACATCATCGGGAGCAACTTGTGGTTCAGTGTCTTGCTCAAAGGAAATCCAACAAACCCAGGACATTTGGTCTTACCTGATTCTTCCCAGGGGAACTCAGGCACAGGGTCCATCTACAGCCTTTTATCTAACTTCTTTATCTACAACAGGACACACTGGAATGCCAAGCGACGACGACTCTCTCCTTCTTATGACTGCTGAAAATACCTTGATTAGTATTCCTCTTTCCTGTTATAACAATTCAAAATGGTGCATTGGACTTAAGTGAAAGGTTGTGTGGAAGGTTTAAGGAGCCTGTGGCATGCTTTTGTCACATAAGCAGCTGGCACTCCGCCTCCTCATGTGCCAGCACAGCTGATGACAATCAACCCAGCTGCAGTGAAGCCGATAGCTGGTGTGTTCTTGTCACCAGATCGTTGCATGTTCCTTAGCGAACGGATTGTGGCTCCCTTCCTTGTGATCAGCACTCCTGTAAGCTGCATCTACTCACCTCTTTGTCTCCCTGGTTTATGTCCTGCTGAGTGAACTCCTCTCATCGTGTCCCCGTGTCAGCGCTCCTGCCTACTACATCCACTCATCTCTTCTTCACGTCTTGTCACCTGTACGAGCTCCCCTCAGCAGGGTCCTTCATCAATAACCACCACTATCTTACCACCTCCTGCCCATGAGCGGGACCTGCCACCTCGTCATCATCTCAATCACCATCCACTCCTACTGGCTCTGCTTCTTCTACTCTACCAGTTATCCACCTCCACATTCACCTGTCTCCACTCCTCCAGCTGACCATCACTGGTAACCAACAGCGGTGTATGTACCAATGAAAAGATATTTGTAACACTTTATACAAAGCGGGTAGTTGAGAAACCCCATATTTTAACTGGCATAATGCAGACATAGTAACTTCTCCAGTGTTACAACAATTCTCTCCAGTGTTATAGAAACGAGGTATGACAATAAAGCATGACAGTTGAACCTATCACATACAGCCAGCCTGTCCAGAGCCTGTCTGTAGAGCTTGGCCTCTGTTCACAGCCAGTTTAAGGGCCTGTTCCTCTAAACATTACAGTTAAAGGAAACTCCTACCAATAATCAGCTGGAATCCTATTTATGTTTGAACCCCCCATTCTCCTTTAAAGCACCAGTGTCCTTATAAACAATGTGACCAGTACCTAAATATCATCTGAAGCATGTGCTTGAATGCTACTGTAGATATTCCGTTCTGTTGACCTGCAGGGCATTTTTCTCATGCCACATGTCAAAATATACCATAGAAATGTAAAACTATATTTAATACCGTGAAATTTCCGCTGTGGACAAAGAGGATGTCTTCCTCAGTTTTTAAAAACCCACATATTTGTTTGTGATTTGTGGTGGCTAAAACTACTCCAGTCATAATTTTTTTCTACATTATTCATATTATTTTATTTTACTGTGTTATATGACTAGAGCTATAAATACTGTACAGCGTTATCTGAGTCTCACTCCCTATCAATGAAGCAAACTGTAACTGTCATTTAAAGAATTAATAATTCTAACACTTAGGCTGTGTCTTTAATTATTTGCCCCCGTACTTGTACAGCTCATTGTGAGGACCAGTTTGGGAAAGTGAGGACATTTTGGGAATGATTGGGGCTAGGCACTGTTGTAGTGATAGTTAGGTTTAGGGTAGGAGGCTAGGGACTGCATTATGTCATCGGCTGTCCTCATAAAAATAGCTGTACAAATGTGTGAGTCTGAAAAGTTGGGTGTGGAATTTTGAGTACTTTAACTAAAAATAACATCCAGTGTTTAAACAGCTTACCACATATAGATTTTGGTGGATCCTATCCCAGATGAAGAGATCACTACATTGGGACAGGTTGCCAGTCTATCACACCTCCAGGCAATTAAGTTTAAAATTAGCCTTAGAATCTTTGAAACCGCAGTGCCTGCACAGACCTAGAGGATTCAGTGTTGGGAGAACACACAGTCTCGATAGAGAAGGGTGCCACATGGCCTTTCATCATAAGTTGATGATCCAGGGAAATAAATGAGTAGTGGAGACACTGCTGAATGTTTGGGATAAAAAACATCACTGGGTCATTTTTGAAAATTTTCTCAAAAGGATTTGGGAACTCACCATGCACTGAGTGAATAACTTTGTCCTGCCAAAAGGAAACCTTATTTTCTGTGTGTGCACAAAAATTAGCACACACGCATACACACACTAAGCCACAGAGACACACATGACAAACACCCAATACCTGTGACAAGCCACAAGATACCAAACCACACAAACCAAAGAACACACACTGATGCAAACAGCTGTGACTTCCAGTCTTTGGTACACTGTATTATACAGCGGTGGTGTGTTAATACATTTTAATTGCAAAATGAAAAATACATGATGTACAGTGTAGATATTTTTATATATCCTACCAGTTCAAAGCTTGTGGTTTGAACTGGTAGTTTGAACTGGTGGTTTGAACTGGGTTTTTTATATACGTACCTTAAGTTTGTTTGAATTTTTGTAAACACTAAAAGAATAGGACTGACTAGCAGCCCCAAAGCCAGAACTTACCTGAAGAAGTCACAGTCCTCCTGGGAGAATGTCCTGTGGACAGATGAGACTAAAATAGAGCCTTTTGGTCGAACGCATCATTCTACTGTTTTCAAAAAGAACACGGTCCCTGCAGTCAAACACGTTGGAGGTTCACTGATGTGTTGGGGTTTTGCTGCATCAGTCATTGGATGTCTTGACTGTGCGTATGGCATTATGAAATCTGAAGACAACCAATAAATTGTGGGGCACAATGTAGGGCCCAGTGTCAGAAAGTTGGGTCTCTGTTAGAGGTCGTGGGTCTTACAGCAGGCCACATCCAGCCCTTTGGACGTCCCTGTCCAGCCCGCATGAGGTCTATCAATCAGAACATGAATGAAAATAGTTCACGGGTGAATTTAAGATCCCAGACCTACTGGGTGAGAGACAGGTGATGTTGGCCAGCTAACCCTCAAAATGTCAACTCACGCCAAAAAAAGAAAAGTTGATGCCAAATGCCGTGTTTTCAACAAGACATGGACTGGAAAGTATTTACAGAAGTCAAAGGTAAAGCGGTGCACTTAGTTTGTGGTACACAGGTTGCTGTGTTGAAGGATTACAATTTGAATCGCCACTACGTGACCAAACATGAGAAATACAAGAACTTGTCAGATGAAGAGCGTGCAAGAGAGTCGGATGCTTTACTAGTGAAACTGCATAACCAACAAAGACTTTTTACAAAACTTTCCACACCCAGAGATGCAGCTTTCAAGACAAGTTATGTCATATCCCACAAAATCACCAGAAAAAGTAAGCCACCTTCTGCTGGAGAGTTTATTAGGGTGTTTGTTGGACTCTGCAGCACTAATATGCCCGGAGAAAAAGGGCGCATATGAGAACATACCCCTCTCCCGACGACGCACTGTAATGAGGAGGTTTGAGGACATCGCAGGAAATCTTTGGATCTACCTACATATGTGAACAAACATTCTCAGTGATGAAGTTCAACAAATCCAGATACAGATCCTCTTATCAGTGATGATCACCTCTCAGCTATCCTTCACATATCCACCTCAGATATTCAGCCAGATTTCAATGCACGTGTTCAAGCCCAAGCCAGACTGGATTTCTCTCACTGAACAAGTAAAATGAACTGAAAATACAATCTTTAACATACTGCAAAACACCTTTTCAGTGTTATGTGAAGTTCAAAATAAAATGGAACTGTGATGTAATATTACTTCTATAGGAGTATTTTTCTGCTTGACCTACACCACAATTTCATATATTAATATAAATATTTACAGAATATGCTTATCCTTCTGATGATCATATAATATACTGCTTTTTACAACGGAAGATAGTGAATATTGAGCAGAATTAAGTTCAAGTTATCGTTGGTTCGGCCCTCCAACACAGTTCAGGTTTCTCATGTAGCGCCCTTGTAAAAATGAATTGCCCACCCCTGAGCTAGAAAGTTCTGAAGTGGCCAGCAATGAGTCCAGCTCTCTTACAGCAGGACAATGACCCAAAGCAGACTTCACAAAGCACCAGAAATGGTTTCAGACAATGTGCTGTAGAGTTCTGAAGTGGTCAGCAATGAGTCTAGATCTAAATCCCATAGATCACCTGTGGAGAGATCTCAGAACAGCAGCTGGGAGAAGGAACCCTTCAAATCTGGGAGACCTGGAGCAGTTGGCAAAAGAAGAGTGGTCCAAAATTCCAGTAGAGAGGTGGAAGAAACTTACTGATGGCTGGAGCTGGGTGTGGAATTGATCAGATTTGGCTTTTTTCTCTGCTGTTTCTGTTGTTCCAATGCAAACAGAAGAAATAAACATGAGAATACCAAATAATTTGGTATTACAACAATTTTCTGGAAGAAGTGGTGCATTCTAATTCCATCATTATTCACTTCAGTGCCATGTGCCAAAACAATGGAGGGCAACCACCTTAACTTTACTCCCACACAAGATGATAATCTTGTTGATAGTACTGCAGGCTCCTTGCGTACCACACTTGATACTGTTGCCCCTCTGGGAAAAGGCAGTGAAACAGAGGAGGCCCAGTGGTACAGCTTGCAGCTCCACTCCCTAAAGCAGGCATCACGAAAACTGGAAAGGAGATGGTGCACCACTAAGTCCGGAGAGTTTTTCTTAGCATGGAAAGATAGTTTAATAATGTATAAAAAAGCCCTTCATAGTGCCAGAACTGCATATTATTCATCAGTGATAGAGGAAAATAAGAACAACCCCAGGTTTCTTTTCAGCACTGTAGCCAGGCTGACAAAGAGCCACAGTGCTGTTGAGCTTAACATTCCCTTAGATCTCAGTAGTAATGACTTCATGAGCTTCTTTACAAATAAAATCACAACTATTAGAGAAAAAAAATTAATCAAATCATTCCCACAACTTGCACAGATGTGTCATCAAGTACAAGGGCTCTAGAATCATCTGTAAGTGTCAGGTCCGCTCGGCGCGACCTGCCTCTCTTCCACCTTTCTCTCCTCTGTTCTCTCAACCTGCGGGATTTGCACCTCAGCTGTGTTGCATTTGGTAATTAGCGACTCGTTTGTCGGTGCACGCAGCTGGGGTGCATCCCACTGATTATCTTCTTCCTTACTTATACCTCTGGCAGACGCTTCGTTGTGGCCGGAGCATTATTTACCTTACTTAACTAACATAACTTGCATACCCTGCAACAGCCATACAATATATTTCATGGTATGTATTGCATGTCATTTTGTTTTCCACGCTGACAGTTCCTGTTCTGTGGATCTCTTTATGTTTTGTTCATTAGGTTAGCTAGACGTTCTTTTTGTTATCCACGCTGACAGTTCCTGTGCTGTGGGTTTCCTTTTTCCTAGTTCGGTTTGTCTATTCACCTGTCCGTCCTGTTCCTCCCACTCTCCTGGTTTCTGCCGTTAGCCTGTCTGCTCCCCTGGTCGTCCTGGTCTCGTCAGCCGTCTTTGCTCAGCCCTGGTTGTACGTATTCATTGACTCTGTTCATTTTTGTACACCCCATCATCAAACCTCCTTTTTTTGCTAGCACCTGGGTCAGCAATCTTGAGTCCTACCGTAGTTCTCCCTCATCCTCCTGGTGAGGGGGACTAAACCATAACAGTAAGACCTCATTTATACTTACACTGCTTCTCTCCCATAGATCTCTCTGAGTTGACATCAACAATTGCTTCATTTAAATCATCATCATGTCTCTTAGACTTCATCCAGACCAGGCTGCTCAGACGTCTTGCCCCTAATCAACATGTCCGTATTAGATCTGTTTAACCTCTTTCTATTAACAGGTCCGTCCGTCGTGGTGAAGAATGAGCTGAGCTGTAAGGCGAAGTTCTCGATTTACTGGTCAATCTACGTTCCGACTCTCACCTATGGTCATGAGCTTTGGGTCATGACCGAAAGGGCAAGATCCCGGATACAGGCGGCCGAAATGAGCTTTCTCCACAGGGCGGCCGGGCGCACCCTCAAAGATAGGGTGAGGAGCTCGGTCACCCGGGAGGAGCTCAGAGTAGAGCCGCTGCTATCGAGAGGAGCCAGCTGAGGTGGCTCGGGCATCTGTTTCGAATGCCTCCTGGGCGCCTTCCTAGAGAGGTGTTCCGGGCATGTTCCACCGGGAGGGATACCTGGGGAAAACCTAGGACACGCTGGAGGGACTATGTCTGTCGGCTGGCCTGGGAATGCCTCAGCATTCCCCCGGAGGAGCTGGAGGAAGTGTCTGGAGAGAAGTCTGGAGGGAAGTCTGGGCATCTTTGCTTAGACTGCTGCCCCCGCAACCCGGTTCCGAATAAGTGGAGGAAAATGGATGGATGGATATTAACAGGTTATGTTCCGCAGACTTTTAAGGTTGCTTTAATTAAACCTCTACTCAAAAAGCCTACTCTTGAACCAGGTGTTATAACTAATTATAGACCAATATCCAATCTCTCTTTTATTTCTAAATTTCTTGAAAAAGCTGTTACAAAGC